ATTTTAGTGGCTTTATTCAAATGTCTAACAATTCCTAGTTGTAGGCTCATATGTAAAAGTTGGGATAGGAATTGCTCCAAAGCTCTTAACACAAGCTGTGAGTCTTACTGGTAATCTCCTTCGTAGTAAGATGACAGATTTGGCTTTGCTCTCCTGCTGGTCAGATATCTCAAAGAGAGTCTTCTAGATTTCCACCTGGAACAAAAAGCCAGAATTCCTCCTTGCAAGCTTATAAACTTTTCTTAAAACTCTCATTTACATTTCAATTCAGTTTGAGGAAGGAACCAGAGCATATTTGTCAAACCACAGTCTTGGCCAAGAATTCTCTTTTCTTTTCTTTCTTTCCTTTTTTTTTTTTTTTTTTCAGATGGAGTCTCACTCTGTCACCAGGCTGGAGTGCAGTGGCACAATCTCTGCTCACTGCAACCTCTGCCTCCCAGTTCAAGTGATTTTCCTGCCTCAGCCTCCCTAGTAGCTGGGAGTACAGGCACATGCCACCACACCCAGATAATTTTTGTATTTTTAGTAGAGACTGGATTTCACCATGTTGGCCAGAATGTTCTTGATCTCTTGACCTCGTTATCTGCCCACCTTGGCCTCCAAAGATGCTGGAATTATGGTCGTGCACCACCAAGCCCAGCTGAATTTTCTTTCTTTTCTTGGTAGTCTTAGCAGCTACAGCATAACTTGCAAAATTAGGTAATAACTAAATAATTATTGAGTGAATATATGATTAATAGAAGGAATCTAAGAAGCTAAACAATGATTATCGTTCCTACTTGTTTGTATTTTTTTTAGGAAGAGTTTTACTTTAAATTCAATGCCAAAGTGTCTGAAAGTCCTTAAGAACACACTGAATGGCTCAATTGTTGCTGAGAACAATGATTTGGTCAGATGGAATGAAAGGCTTTAAGAATCCCCCAGTTTTACTGACAATACCTGGAACAACTCGAAACCATAAAACATCTTTTTAATAAAAGTTGATAGCTCTAAAGGTACACCATATTTTGATATGGATATGAATGTTCTAAAAGGTTGCATAAATGAGATTATGAACACATTTCTCTTTCACTTTATACTACTTTATTATTTTTCAATGAAATTATCACTAAGAATTTGAGAGTTTAGTCTTTCATACTTCAAGGAACTCAGAGAATTTAATGAGAAGACAAACTGAATAGAGATCCTGAATCATAATTTGGTTTGAGGGATTATGAGAGCCCTTTAGAGAGACAGCATTGGACGTAGCAATTGATGAGCTCTGCAGAAGCGGGGCTCTTTACAGGCATGACATTTCATGCTGGACATTTAGCCAGTCCTCTCTGGAAATTTATTACGTAATTTCTGAAAACTTTTCTTAAATTATTTGTTGATAATTTTTCCCCTTTCATATTTTGTGTCCTTCACCTTTTGATGCGAATTTTTATCACTCAAACATTGAGTATTCTGGACTGTTCTTCTGTTTCTTGACAGTTCTCTTCTACTTTCCATTTGTTTGTCTTTTTTACTCCAGAGAAAAAAAGAAATGTATTAAAATTTTGTCTTCTAATCTTTCTACTGAATTTTTCACTCGTGCACTTATGTTTCTGATATTAAATATATTTTTGTTGTTGTTTGAGTGATCTGCATTAAAGCAACCTGTTTATGGTTTCTGCATATTACAAATAGCTTTGTTTTGGTTTTCCTTCCTACATGTTTCCTCCAAGTTGCTTACATGTTTTGTTGTTTGTTTGTTTTGATCTTTATGTCAAGAGCCTTTCCTCAGATTTTTCTCATCTTTGACTTTATAGGCATTTCTACGAGTAAGGGATTTAAAACCTGATTGCTCCCGATGAACACATGATGGGACTTCTCAACTCTGAGCTGCATTGTAAATTGACCTGTGTGAATATTTCATTGGGAAATCCCAACTGTTTTTGTCTTTATCTTTTCTGCTTTAGAGTGGATCAAATTATCAAGGAAAGACTTCCAATTTTTATCTAGAGGAAGGAATCTAGAAGTCAGATTCAAGTAGAAGAAAGAGCTAGGGTTGTTTGCATTCAGTATTCAGTATGCATCTGATGACAAATCTCCATGTTGTCAGTATGGTACATACACACAACTGTGTGTAGCATTCTCCAGCTCAAGATCTTACTTTCCCCCTCTAGTGAATACATCTCCAGATTTTTAGGGGAGGAGGCACATGCAGCAGTGAGGAGCAGAAGCCCTCAGATATATAATTTGTTCTCAGACAGATTCTACCTAAGCTGCCAGAGTTCAGAACCACTCCCTTCGTCTTCACTCTAAAGTAATGGATACTTTCAATGATCCTGCAAGTGTAAATTGGATTTGTCCCTACTCTTCTCTACAGATGTCAGGTCCCATTCATTTGCTTACAACTTTCAAAACTGTGCTCTTTACCTCTCCTGATTTCCCCATCCTTGTGGGTTATGTATTTTAAAATATACATCCCTTTGCTATCATTTTGTATGTATCATTTACCCTATCTTAATGAAAGACCAAAATGGCATGGTTATTTATTTATTTATTTTTATTTTCCATAAATTATTGGATACAGGTGGTATTTGATTACATGAGTAAGTTCTTTAGTGGTGATTTGTGAAATTTTGGTACACCCATCACCCAAGAAGTATACGCTGCACCAAATTTGTAGTCTTTCATCTCTTGCTCCCCTCCCACTCTTCCTTAGAAGTCCCCAAATTTCATTGTATCATTCTTATGCCTTTGCATCCTCATAGATTAGTTCCCACATATTAGTGAGAACATATGACATTTGGTTTTCCATTCCTGTGTTACTTCACTTAGAATAATAGTCTCCAATCTCATCCAGGTCACTGCAAATGCT